CGTCCAGGTTGAGCACTGATCCAGGCCTCGGGCGACCGCCGCAGCTCCTGGAGCCACAGCCTGACGACGTCCCGGGGGCCGAGACCACGCCCTCGTAATAAAGACTGGAACCTGCGTCCTCGGCTCTCACCAAGCGGACTTTTTGCGGGGCGTGGCGGCCGGGTCTGGACCCCGGTGCGGATCAGCGGCTGCCGAGGAAACACTGCTCCACAACTTGGGGCGCAGAAATGCTCCCACTTCCCTTACAGCCCCGCTCAATCCCCCATCCCCGTCAGCCTGGCACCTTCGCTTCCAGATGCTCCCAGGCTCTCATTCATTCCTTTATCACACGGCGGCCCTGGGGATGATCTTCACAGCAAGAGACAATGTGCATTCGTTCCCATTTTGTTACGCAACAATTATGTGCTAAGCACTTTAGGCAGATAATTTCATTTAATCCTTGCAACAACACTCTGAGGTAGATGATATTATTACTCCCATTCAGGACCGGCTACATCATTTGTGTGGCCCAGGGCAAAGTGAAAATGGGGGTTCCGAGTTCAAAATGGGGGCTGGCCGGAGTGCCGCCTTGTAATACCAAGGTCAAAGGTTCAGTTCCAAGGTCAAGGGTTTGACCAGCTGCCAAAAACCCAAAAACAACTGGGTTAAGAGTTTCAAAACTGGGACCAGCAGAGCATGAAACCGAGCACGAAGCCCTCCCAGTGCGACTGCGCAGGTCTCTCACTCTTGTAATCAACATTGGTCCATGTCATAGGTGAGGAAACTGAGGCTCAGAGAGGTTGAGTGGCATGCCCAAAGTCACAAAGCCAGTGGGTCTGGAATTCAGACAGTCTGGCTCCACAGCCAAGAGCTCTCAGGCTGGGCCCTCGATTTAATTCAGCAAATATTGACTGACCTCTGTGCACAAGTGCTGACCTTGCCTGGGAGGGATCCAGGAACATGCTAAGCCCACACCCTCCAGGAGCTCAGGGCGCAGCAGGGCAGACAAGCCCAGGGCATGTGACAGCAGCCACAGCACCAGCCAGGTGCAGGGCCCCCCCCAGGCTCCCTTTACTGTCACCTCAAATCTGGCTCCTCCCCACCAAGGCTGGGAAGAAACTCACTCTCAGCCATGCAGAGGGAGTCTGACCCCTCCTGGGGGCTAATGTGGGGTCTGAGAAAACAGGGGTAGGGGCAGGGCCTGGTACTTCATCCTGGGGGGCCACCAAAGTCACTCTCACTCCTACTCAGTGCTCCCCAGTCACTGGACCACTGGACACTGATGCAACCTCTGTGTTCAGGGGCTGGCCCTGCAGGCAGCCTTTCAGGGCACTGGAGTCAGTCAAATGGCCTTCCATAAGCCAGAGACACCAAAGTTGGTGGTGGGGACACAATGCCACCCTCCTTCCTGAGGTGGGGGAGGGGAGAAGGAGCTTTGTGTGGAGGGAGGGAGTCATGCTGTGGCTGTTACATACAGGATGGACAAGAGCACCTACTTAAAGAGTCAGACCGCCAGGGTTCAAAACCCTGCTACAAGGTTTGAGATCAGTAATAATAATAATGATCACTTAGTAATAAGTGGTTATGCTCTCTGACCTTGAGTAAATTACTTAACCTCTCTACATCACCACGCCTCTGTTTTCTTACTTGTCAATTGGGATCAAGGGTTCCTTCCTTATGAGGTTGCTGGGTGGATGCTCCCAGGCCAGTTCCACCCTCTTTAGAGACTGACCGTGAGGAATGAACCCACCGTGCCCCTCATTCCTGGTTTTGCCAGGTGGCACCCAGATTCCACCCCCATCCGTCTTCTGCTGCACCCAAACCCAGGAAGGTTCCATTCTTCCTGGTCCCTGGACCACCCTTTGTGCCTCTGCCACCTAGGCCCTCCTCTTCTAAAGTGGCTCTCCGACGAGAGGTCCCAAGGGGAGCTTTGTCTCCCATACTGACACTCCACCTCATTTTTGGGATTCTTTGGTCTTGGCTCATGGTCTTCTTCTCACCCAGATCTTACTGGAGTGAGTTTGATGGAGTTCCATGACTCCATTATCTAAGAGGATGATTTTGCAGCATCTTGACCTCTCAGCTGCCCTTACCCATGGTCACACTCTGGGGCTTGCTGTTACCCCAAATTCTTTCATGTTCAAGGCAGGCTTCCTGTTCTCTGATGTTAACCTAATTCCTTCCCACTGGAGCACTCTTTGGACCCTCCCACCTGCCAATCCTTTGGTCACCCCACCACCCCCACATTCTCAGGATTGCACAGTATCAATGACCTTTCCTCAATACTTTTAGTCTCAACTGAATCCTTCCAGTTGATAGGTGTCTTAATTGGCTTCATTCATCTTGAAGGTCTCTCCATGTTTCCCCTCACGTCTAGCCCCCATCCTCTCTCTCCAGTTCCCTTTTCTTTCCCCTCCCCACCTCCCTCAGCCTGATTTCACTGAAACTACATCCACTGGGCAGCCAGCGGGATCTTTCCAAAATGCAGATCCAACCAGATCACTCTCCTGACTAAAGACCTTCAATAGCTTCCTTCTGCTCTCATCAAAAACTCCTTTCTCTGGGCCGGCCTGTGGCTCACTCGGGAGAGTGTGGTGCTGATAACACCAAGGCCCTGGGTTCGGATCCCATATAGGGATGGCCGGTTCACTCACTGGCTGAGCATGGTGCTGACAACACCAAGTCAAGGGTTAAGATCCCCTTACCGGTCATCTTTAAAAACAAACAAACAAACAAAAAAAAAAAAACAAACCCCTTCTTACAGTTCACAAGTCCCTCCAAGATCTGCCCTCCTCCTCAACCTCCTAACCTCATCTACTACCTGTATTTTCTTTGCTCTCTGTCATCCAGCCATGTGAGCCTTCTGCAGTTCCTCAGCCCTGACTTGCTGACATGCCACAGGGCCTTTGCAGACACCGTTCCTTCTGCCTACTTCCCCAGCACTCCCCCCACGCTCCCTGCAACTTCCCTCCTCTCCTTCTCTGTAATTACTACACAAATGTGAGTTCCTCAGGAAAGTCTCTCCCCTTGGCCATCCCACCAGACCGGGTCCCTTGTTATGTTATACCATTTATGGCACCTGTCAAAGTGGGTGCTCCTGTATTTATTTGTGTGGCTGTCAGATTAGCTTCTGTTCCTCTCAATAGTCTGTGAGCAACACGAGGCCAGGAGCCTTGTCTCTGTCTTCCAACAATCGTACAATCAGTGCCCTGCAATGTGGCAGGCAAGGGACACAATAAATATTGGCTAAATGTAGCAAATAAGGCGAGTGTGTAAAGTATATTATAGGCCATAAAACTGACTCACCATTATTATTCAGGAAGACTTTCTGAAATCCCTGGATGGGATTTGAGCAGGACCTTGAGATCGGGAGGCTGGGCAAAGTGGAGCTTGCTAGCTGGTGGATCTGGACAAGCATGCCTTCAGCGTGGGCCTCATTTATCATTTATGAAATGGGCAAGGGTAGGACACAAGGAGCTGGAGCTCTGACATTCCACGGCCCTACCATCCCTCAATCCTCCCCGTGAAAGTTATCCTCCCGTAGGCAGGGGTTTAGTTAAGCCAAACCTAGCCCAATTTTATGCACAGATCCAGGGCCTCCCAAGACTGGGCTGTCCTGTCTGCACTTCCACACTCTGCCACCGGGAGGCACTTGAAGACCAGCCACACGGCTCCGAGTCTCGGGGAAGACCAGCCCGCGGATCTACCGGTTCCCCGGGCCCGCCCCTTGCATCTCCCGCCCTCCCTTCCTGTCCGCGGCGGCCGGGCCCATGGCCACAAGCAGCCATGCTGGGCGCGCGGGCCTGGCTGGGCCGGGGCCTCCTGTTGTCCCGCGCTGGGCAGGGCCTCGCCTCGAGCCGCAGGTATGGGCCGGTGGCTGGTCTTCCCGGCTCTGATCCCCATGCCTGCTTGGATCACACCTGCATGCCTGCTCCATCTCCACCCCTGCTCCGGTCTGCCAGGGCCAGGTCGCAGCAGTAAGGCCCTCCTCCCCTCCCCACCCCTCAGGCTGCCGGGCTAGCTCCCCAGGGACTGTTCTGACACCGCCTCCAGGAAGCCTTCCTTGAACCCCAATGCTGAGCTGGGGGCCCTTCTCCAACAGCACATTGTGTCCTGTCACAGTCCTTTACTACTGCTTGGACCCATAGGCCACTCTCCCAGGCTGAATTCCCTGAGGTCAGGGTCTCTTTCTGATTTCCTAGGTGTCCTGAGGCTCTGGCACCGACCTGGCCCCACAGAAGTGCTAGTAGGTGGGCACTGAGTGAGAAAGGCCCTTGTGTCTATTTTCCTCTGGTCACCCCTCGCATGGTCCAGTCCCAGACCCGCTCTTCTTGACCTGTCCAGCCACTAGCCGTGGGCAACCTCCCCGCCCCAGTCCTGCACACAGGCATTCCAGAATGACACCACCAGCAAAACCACCCTGGGGAGGGGCCCCCAGGTAGGGGGAGAGAACAGAGCCCAGAGGACCATTCTGCCCATTGTGACCCGCCTTGACCTCACAGCCATCCTTCCCACCGCCAGGTCCGAGAGGTTGGGGGAGACTAACCTGGCAGAGAGCCCCCAATGAGCCACCTCTCTTCACCCCCCCAAAAACATAAGGGGGAGCATAAAGGCCACAGTCTCCCCCGTGGTTCAGAAAGGTGGGTTGGGCTGAGAGCAGGGGTTCCGAGAGAGGTGCTGGTGGGCTGGGTGGGTTGGAGTGCACTCTGGGGTGGGCTGGGGGGAGGTGGATGGAGGCCCTTACCTGCTTGACCCACCTGCCCATGCCAGGGGTAGCTCTTCCCGGGACAAAGACCGAAGTGCGACGGTCAGTAGTTCGGTGTCCATGCCTGCTGGAGGAAAGGGAAACCGGCCGAGTGGTCCGTCTTCTGCACCCCAGAAGGTCCCCAACCGCCTAATCAATGAGAAGTCACCGTACCTCCAACAACATGCCTACAATCCTGTGGACTGGTGAGTAGCTCCCAGTGCCCTCCCCAAAGCAGCTGGGGTCCCAGACCCCTCCTAGACCCCCTGGGCTGCTGAATGATGCCCCACTGTGCTGGGCCTAGGTACCCCTGGGGACAGGAAGCCTTCGACAAGGCCAAGAAAGAAAATAAGCCAATTTTCCTCTCAGGTAATGCACCCACCTTTCCTGGAATGGGGGGCAGGGAGGGGCAGTGGATGGGGAGAGGGCCCTCTGGGCCTGCGGGGCTCCCAGGGAACTCGAGTCAGGAGCTCTTCAGTCCAGCCGTGGCCCCTTGGCTGGCGCCCTCTTACCCATCACTGGCCCCCCCCAACCTCCCCACATGGCCCCATTCCAGTGGGGTACTCCACCTGCCACTGGTGCCACGTGATGGAGGAGGAGTCCTTTCGGAACGAGGAGATCAGCCGCCTGCTCAATGAGGACTTTGTCAGCGTGAAGGTAGACCGCGAAGAGCGGCCGGACGTGGACAAGGTGTACATGACCTTCGTGCAGGTGAGCCGGCTTCCCACAGGAGTGCGCGCTGCACGTGCTGGGGGCCGGCTCCCCTCATGCTCCTCCTCTCTCCTCCAGGCCACCAGCAGCGGTGGGGGCTGGCCCATGAATGTGTGGTTGACTCCCAACCTCCAGCCCTTTGTTGGGGGCACCTATTTCCCCCCTGAGGACGGCTTGACCCGAGTCGGCTTCCGCACGGTGTTGCTGAGAATACGGGACCAGGTGGGTGTGCGTCGGGGAGTGGGGACCAGGGTCAGCTCCCCGCCCCATGCTGACCTCCAGCTGTGCCCCACCTCCCACAGTGGAAACAGAACAAGAACACGCTGCTAGAAAATAGCCAGCGCGTTACGACAGCCCTGCTGGCCCGGTCGGAGATCAGCACGGGGGACCGCCAGCTGCCACCCTCAGCCGCCATCATGAACAGCCGCTGCTTCCAGCAGCTGGACGAGGGCTATGATGAGGAGTATGGTGGCTTCGCTGAGGCCCCCAAGTTTCCCACACCGGGTTGGTGCCCCCCACACCCACCTTACCCCAGGCCTAGCCTTCTGACCCCTATCCTCGGCAGTGGCCGTGTGAGCCCTGGCTTGGTCCTTAACCTCCTGTCCTCCTGACTGGCCAGTGACCTCCTCACCCCTAGCCTATCAGTATCTGTCTACTGAAGCCCTGAGTTCTAATCTTAGCAGTACTCCATGGCCATGACCCAGATGATTATCTCTGACCCTTGACTTGTTAGTGACCCAGCCACCCTGGCCTGGCTAGTGACTTTCTGGGCTCCGGTCTGATAATAATTTTCTGGTCTCCTGTGGGCTGATGATATCCTGATCTCTGGCTTGGGCAGTGACCTTCTGTCCTCTGGGTTGACTGTTAACCTCCTGACTCCCAACCTGTCCAGAGACTGCCTGTGGAGTCTGGCCATGGGCCACCCAGATCTCCGCCCCACCCCCCTTTCTCATCCACATGCCCTTGGTGCCCCACAGTGATCCTGAGCTTCCTGTTCAACTACTGGCTCACCCATCGACTGACCCAGGATGGGTCTCGAGCCCAGCAGATGGCCTTGCACACGCTGAAAATGATGGCCAACGGGGGCATCCGGGACCACGTGGGGCAGGTGCAGGGGGCTGGGCACTCCTTGGAGGGGCAGCAGGAGACCTGGGGTGGAGGTTGAGGCTGGGATTGGCCACAGCTCTGCATCCTGCCTGTCCCAGGGCTTTCACCGCTACTCCACGGACCGCCAGTGGCACGTCCCCCACTTCGAGAAGATGCTCTGTGACCAGGCACAGCTTGCAGTGGTCTATTCACAGGCCTTCCAGGTGACCCCAACCCGGAGCAGAGGCACCTAGCCCTGGCTGCCCCTCCCAAGGCCTTCCTGGTGACTGTGGCTTCCCCTAATCCCAACCCCCAATTTCTTCCCATACACCCACAACCCAGGCTTCCCTTCCCATGTACCTAGGCTGCCACAGTGAACTCTACTTACAGCCTCCCTTCTGTGCCCCCTCAGATCTCTGGTGATGAATTCTACTCTGACGTTGCCAAAGGCATCCTGCACTATGTGGCTCGGAGCCTGAGCCACCGGGTGTGTGTCCACTGAGGCGGACAGGCCTGACGGCGGGAGGGCTCGAGGTCTCCCCTGCGCATCAGACCGGGACCAGCCAACTCTCCCCTCCCCACAGTCTGGAGGCTTCTACAGTGCGGAGGATGCAGACTCACCCCCAGAGCGGGGCATGCGGCCCAAAGAGGGTGCCTTCTACTTGTGGACCGTCAAGGAGGTCCAGCAACTCCTCTCTGAGCCTGTGCTGGGCGCCACGGAGCCGCTGACCTCAGGCAAGCTCCTCATGAAGCACTACGGACTCACGGAGGCCGGCAACATCAGCTCCAGTCAGGTGAGGGCCTCTGGGGACGCTGGAGGGGTCCTGGAGCCCCTCAGGCCTGTGGGCTCCCTCCAACAAGGGCTGTTTTCCTCAGGACCCCAAGGCGGAGCTACAGGGCCAGAACGTGCTGACCGTCCGGTACTCGCTGGAGCTGACGGCCGCCCGCTTCGGCTTGGGCGTGGAGGCTGTCCAGACCATGCTCAACACCGGGCTGGAGAAGCTCTCGCAGGCCCGGAAACATCGGCCGAAGCCGCACCTGGACAGCAAGATGCTGGCTGCCTGGAACGGTGCGGCAGCCGTCCCTGTCGGAGGCCCTGTCCTGTTTGTAGAATTACTCTGGGTGTTGAGGAGGATGTACCTGGAGGGTCCTGGCCAGCTTCTCACTGCCACGGTCTCTCCTTCCTCCAGGTCTGATGGTGTCTGGCTATGCTGTGACCGGGGCTGTCCTGGGGCAGGACAGGTTGATCAACTATGCCACCAACGGTGCCAAGTTCCTGAAGCGGCACATGTTTGACGTGGCCAGCGGCCGCCTGATGCGCACCTGCTATGCCGGATCTGGGGGGACCGTGGAGCACAGGTGGGGGGCTGGGCAGCCCGGGAGGGCTCATCTCCCCGCACGTTCCCAGCCCACCTCTGCCTTTTTCCTCCTCTTCAGTGGACGTCCATCCTGGCTCTGCCGTGCCCTTGCTGTGAGCACTTAATCTCCATGGGCCTATTTACTCATCTGGGAAATGGGTTAATGGTGCCTACTCAAGAGGTGGATTTTGAGGGTCAAGTGAAAGAGTGCATGATAAGGGCCCCCTCTGGGAAAGCCCTTCTCTCCCAGGCCTGTCCCTAGCTCCTCCCCTAATGCCTGTCCCTCAGTAACCCGCCCTGCTGGGGCTTCCTGGAGGACTACGCCTTCGTGGTGCGGGGCCTACTGGACCTGTACGAGGCCTCGCAGGAGAGCTCGTGGCTCGAGTGGGCTCTGCGGCTGCAGGACACGCAGGACAGGTTCTTCTGGGACTCCCGGGGCGGTGGCTACTTCTGCAGCGAGGCCGAGCTGGGGGCTGGCTTGCCCCTGCGGCTGAAGGACGGTCAGTGGGGGGGGCGGGCTGGCTCCCTGGGGGGGGCGTTTA